TTGCCAGGGAGGCGAGTTTAATTTATTCACAACCGACAGCCCTTTCCCCCAATTTTGTCCCAGAGCTTGGGAGACCGGCTTTGCCAATTAGGTACGACGACCCGCGAGATGAAGAAGCTGAAACTAGGTGAGGATCCACGCAGGACGTGATCAGCATGGGTTATTTGCTTTTCTCTGAAGGACACAAGCACCTACTTTATCCTACTTTTCTTCTTTGGAATATTAATAACTGTACAAAATGTAACTTAAGAAGGGCAACTTTAAAAGAATATATATTGGTTACATTATCACACTGATCATTTAAATATTTTCAACTAATTACTAAAGAAATTTTACAAATAAAATCTACATGCACATTTATATTATTTTTAATTCATTTATATATTATTTATATATCATTTATATATTATTTTTCTTTTGAAAAGTTGATAAAAGCTAAAACCTAATCAGAAACAATACATTTTAATAAAATTTAGTGATTTATTGCACTTCTTCAATCAATTGCTTTATTCATTTTTACTAATCTATTTATTATTGTTTTGCCAGCCTTTTTTGGGATCGCATAGCCGGAAGTAAACTAATTGGTTGGAGAAGTTCGATAAACCGTCTAACAATATTCAATAAAACAAATGTATCTGTACCACTAATAAGAAAGCGACATATGGCGCAACCGCCTGGACCAATAAAGTAAAGAAAATAACAAAACGGAATTCAGAAAAATACAGACTCGCATGCGTTTGCATAAAGGGAGTGATAAGAACTTGTCTCACAGCTGGTGTGGAGAAAATGGATTTAATCCCCCTCTACAATATGAAATGAGGAAATCACAAAATGCAATTATTCAACATCATTAAAGAGTTCTTTTATGTAAGGTATTGTTGAAATGAAAAAGTTAGCGTCACGAGCGAGATTCGAACCCACGACCTTCGGCTAAATACGCCGCTGCTCTACCACTTGACCTATCGTGACTTCGATCAACTCGTACACCAACTCCCCATCTCAACCTACCTTTCGAATTTTCCCTCCTTTTGCCATTTTTAATGAATTAACTGAAGTACACTTCACTCAAGCTCTCCGTCGCCATTTCAATTGTCGTCGAGAATCCAAACCGATTACACGACATTTGAAAAATGGCAAAAGGAGGGAAACTCATAAAGTGGGGTTGAGATGGGGAGTTGATGTCCGAGTGGATCGAAGTCACGATAGCTCAGGTGGTAGAGCAGCGGCGTATCAAGCCGAAGATCGTGGGTTCGAATCCCTCTCGTGCCATTAACTTTTTTTCATCTCAACTAAAAACCTTAATTAATTGTAAAGTTTAATTGGTCAAGCGGACCACGAAATTAGTCAATTTACTGTCAATTATAATGAGTAAATGCATACATACATTTTAATGTTAGAAATCTTGAAAATAATTTGGTATAAAAACAGGCATCAAATCAAAATACATAAGCCAGTAGCACTGCTAATTTAAATAATTTCACATAAAGTTACTCCTCTCTTACAGGGGGGTTTAAGGACCAACAGTGTACAGAACGTTTTTACAAATTATTCTCAAATAAATGTCCAGGATCTATGACGGAATTCGAACCTAGAACCGTTGACGCACCTTCGGCTAAACACGCCGCTGCTCTACCACTTGAGCTATCGTGACTTTTTGGAGATCGTGAAATGCAGTCTGGTGTGACGTAGGTTTTAGAAAAACATTTTCTTTATCGTACCAACTTTTCGATCTTTATTGAGATCATCTTCAGGGCCTGGGATTTATAAACATTGTTTATATTTTACAAATCCATGTAGGATGTGAAAAAAATGAATTTATACAATACTAGAAATTTTAGATTCAATCAAAGTATTTGTACTCTTTCGAAGTGTTTGTTTTCTGTGTATAAGTGTCGTTATTGTATGTCGTGTTGAGAGTGCCAGTGAGATATTGCTGTTTTATGTCTACATATGTCGGATTTTGAAAGGGTGGGGAAGGATGTAATGATAGAAATACATTTTTATATGAGTAGTCGGTTTTTATGAGGTGAAAGGAACCGACAATAGGGAAAAAAGGGTAATGGTTCGGCCTAATAATCTTTTCAGGATTGTATAGACGGGGATAATTAGAGAAATGAAAGCTAAATTGTTGAAGAATTAGACTATGTAGAAATGTTTGATGTGTGAAATGTGATGAATGTTTTATATGTTATATGTTTTGTGTGATGTGATGATATATGTACGTAGTCGATATTGAATTTGATTAATGGCGTAGCTGCGACTGGGCTTACATATGTCTGTTCTGTAATTGATGATGTGCTTATCTCTGTTTCTAAAAAGTTACGTTTATTTTTATTTTGCTCTGTGTGTAGTACTTTTTGATTGTTGAAATCGAAATTGTGTTGAAGTTCAAAATGGTAGGTAGCTAAATAAAAATATAGTTGTCAAATAGCCAAGTAGCTTTCAAAGCACTAAACTGAAACACCTTTAACTCTATTGCAAAACTAAACTAAATAGATTTGGAATGCAAAATAAAGTCAGACTCTACTGGGTACCAGAACATGTATGAGAGAACAATGGGAGGGCGGAGGCCCTTGCGAGGAAAAAGTTGGTAAGTCCTGAACCCTTCTGTACCATAGGGATTACCAGTGAGTATGGTTGACAAAAGTACAAAATGAAAAATTAGGAAATAGTGGAATTCGCTCATTGGCCATAAACCAAATCCTAGCAAATTTTGGAAGGAAAGAAACAGCAGAATGGATTTTGAGGAAGCAGGAAAAACTCCTAATCCGAACAGGATTTTTAACAGGATACGGCAGACTGGGCATCTGATGAAAATTGTTATAATACAACACGACAGATTTTGAAGCAGGAGGAGTCACCAACACTCTTATTAACAAACCATCGCACCATTTTAGCCCCAGGAGGAAGTGTTTTGGGATGTACAACGTTACTGTAAAAGAAATTCCACTACTGAAACCGGGCCTGCTAATCAAATTTAATGACCTAGGACTCACCTGTATGCAGTTCAGAACGGGGGATACAATAATTCTTAAAGGGTGCATTACACATCCCAAACTTACATCGTACATGTTACACCTTCACAGAATAACCAAATGATATGAGGACCTGGAGATATATTTCAATTATTTAAATTAATACTACTTTTCATCTAAGACGTTGGTTGTGATGAAAAAGCCAGTGTTACGAGCGGGATTCGAACCCATGACCTTCGGCTCAATAAGCCGCTTTCAAGTCACGATAGTTCAAGTGGTTAGCAATGGCGTATTGACCCGAAAGTCTAGGATTGAAACCCCCTCGTGACACTGGATTTTTCATCTCAGCCAAGACCTCAGATAAAATGTATAATTAACTTAAATACTGTCAATTATACAATTAATTAAGTTTTTAGTTGAGATGAAAAAAAGTTAATGGCACGAGAGGGAATCGAACCCACGACCTTCGGCTTGATACGCCGCTGCTCTACCACCTGAGCTATCGTGACCTCGATCCACTCGGACATCAACTCCCCATCTCAACCCCACCTTATGAGTTTTCCCTCCTTTTGCCATTTTTAATGAATTAACTGAAGTACACTTCACTCAAGCTCTCCGTCGCCATTTCAATTGTCGTCGAGAATCCAAACCGATTACACGACATTTGAAAAATGGCAAAAGGAGGGAAACTCATAAAGTGGGGTTGAGATGGGGAGTTGATGTCCGAGTGGATCGAAGTCACGATAGCTCAGGTGGTAGAGCAGCGGCGTATCAAGCCGAAGATCGTGGGTTCGAATCCCTCTCGTGCCATTAACTTTTTTTCATCTCAACTAAAAACCTTAATTAATTGTAAAGTTTAATTGGTCAAGCGGACCACGAAATTAGTCAATTTACTGTCAATTATAATGAGTAAATGCATACATACATTTTAATGTTAGAAATCTTGAAAATAATTTGGTATAAAAACAGGCATCAAATCAAAATACATAAGCCAGTAGCACTGCTAATTTAAATAATTTCACATAAAGTTACTCCTCTCTTACAGGGGGGTTTAAGGACCAACAGTGTACAGAACGTTTTTACAAATTATTCTCAAATAAAAGTCCAGGATCTATGACGGAATTCGAACCTAGAACCGTTGACGCAAATACAAGTCTGTCGTGCTCGCAATTTAAAATGTTTAAAAACGTTAAAATTGTATAATAAGTTGATTAAACACGAGTTCTTTTTGTTCTTTAAGTTTCTAAATAATTCATCAACAATCATTCTTAACTATTTAATTTGGCCTTTAGTGATCATTTTAGTTTGCCTATCGTTGCGTATCGGCTTCTCGACACCTTCAATGGACGGTTTATTGATTTTGTGATTATTCGGATATAACAAGATGTGTGAATATATTTGTGTAAGAACATATATTGGAAGAAGGGTATTTATAGATGAAAGGGGAGGGAATTTGCGGTCAGAACCAATTACGCCATGAGTCGGGGTCCATGGTTAACACACACTTGTTTACAATCTTCGCAAACTGATAAATATAATTAAATCAGTGTATTAATGATACAATTAATACATTTTAAATCAATATGAAGAGTTACAAGCGTGGGCTTCGTTCTACGCATTTAAAGCTGTTAAAACAAAAAATGCTGTTGTCGTCACAGGATTTCATTTGGATATTGAAGAGTAAACAGATGCACACAGTTTATAACTCGATTAACAAACCACAAATCGCATTGAACTCATATTTACATCATTTTCATGGTAAATTCATCAATGGAACTTATCTTTTAAGAATCGGTTAATATGTTATTTTTAATTTAACTGGGACTATGCATTTACTAAGGTCCGCCTATAGATGCGGGTTCCGATTTCAGAAAGCTTCTTATCAAATCTTTATAGCAATCTAGAAAACGTCTTAAAAACGCCACTTACCTATTCAATATTTTATTGCAAAATAATGTGGATTTGTATTTAAATTGTTGCTGTTCTTTACCGTAAAGATTCTTATTATTGTTATTTATATTACAGGTAGAAGCTGTGAGTTCTGAAAAAGCTGTGAGGGTGAGGGTGAAGGTCTTGGACAACACAACGTCCATCTACAGCCAGGACATAGAGATGGCCGGAGGCGAAGGTAGTTTCCTCGTACCCGCAATCCTGTCCGACAGTGATCTCATTACGCTCCAGGTAGCTATGAAATATTCACGTTAACACGTTCGGGCCGAAATCAAAGTCGTAGACGGGAAGGTCGACCCGGTGATGAGAGGTCGGAATCGACGGAATCAGTCAGACCGCTCTTCGTGGCCCATTTCCACTTCCATGCCTCGCTCCCGCTCAATCACATTAATTGATTCAAAGCTATTAACCCTAATCCACGAATTGGATGCGAGTGGGTTAACATCTTCCCGGCTCTCACGCTAATCCGCTCGCTTAGGGGCTTTAGATCACTTCAAACCGGGTTCTCTAAACGCACGCCAGCTCCCGACTCCTTTGTTAATATTTTCCCTCGGCTAAAATATTCGCCAGTGCAAGATTTAGCGTCAATCAATATCTTCCTGAGCGATAAAACATCATTGTAAAATACATACCTACTTAATTAAATTGTATACATGGAGGGTTCCAATCTTCGTAGAGGTGATTAGAAACCGTGAACACCAATACAACTTCGACTTCAACAATTCAAAAATATTACACACTGAGCAAAACAAACATAAACGTAACTTTTTAGAAACGGTTTACATCAACAAGGATAAACACAGCATCAATTAAAGAACAGACACATGTAAACTCTAAAAACGCTTCGCTAATATCATTAATCAAATTCAATATCGATAACATACATATATAGCGGAGAACCGAAAACAAGCTCCCAGAGGTTTTTATGATCGGTCCTGACTACATTAATTTATTCTATCGATCAGGCACATTTTTGATATATGAATTTCCAATATTCAATACAAACCAAAATAAATACGAGACCAAAATATTAGGAAAATTTAAATCTTTCATTACAATTTATTTCCAAATAAAATTACAATTTCTTTTAGTAATTATTATTTTTAATTAAAAATTTTTTTTTATTTTATAATAAAACCTATTTCAAAATCTACAAACATCAATTTAAAAATCGAATTTAATTCTCGTTTTATAAAGAAAAGTAAAAGTAAAGGAAATTATTATTATAATTATTAATTACAATAAATTAAGGTTTTTAGTCGAGATGAAAAAAAGCTAATGGCACGAGAGGGATTCGAACCCACGACGTTCGGCTAGATACGCCGCTGCTCTACCACCTGAGCTATCGTGACCTCGATCCGCTCGGACATCAACTCCCCATCTCAACCCCACATTATGAGTTTTCCCTCCTTTTGCCATTTTTCAATGGCATGGGGAATTGATGTCCGAGCGGATCGAGGTCACGATAGCTCAGGTGGTAGAGCAGCGGCGTATCTAGCCGAAGGTCGTGGGTTCGAATCCCTCTCGTGCCATTAGCTTTTTTTCATCTCAACTAAAAACCTTAATTAATTGTAATGTATTAATTGGTCAAGCGGACCAAGAAATTAGTGAATTTAATGAATTAACTGAAGTACACTTCACTAAAGCTCTCCGTCGCCATTTCAATTGTCGTCGAGAATCCAAACCGATTACACGACATTTGAAAAATGGCAAAAGGAGGGAAAACTCATAAGGTGGGGTTGAGATGGGGAGTTGATGTCCGAGTGGATCGAGGTCACGATAGCTCAGGTGGTAGAGCAGCGGCGTATCTTGCCGAAGGTCGTGGGTTCGAATCCCGCTCGTGCCATTAGCTTTTTTTCATCTCGACTAAAAACCTTAATTTATTGTAATGATTTAATTGGTCAAGCAGACCACGAAATTAGAGAATATAATTATTAATTTTTGACCACCAATTCGAAAATATGATCAAAATTTTAACACAACTTTTAAAATCAAATGTTATTTCTTTTATTTTTCTTTATAAAAATATATTTTTGTTACAACCCTTTTTAAATTAAAGTACAATTATTATTTTTTGTTTTGACGTCAAAATATAAAACTTACTCACTTGAATTGAGCGCACACCAAATTTTTTCTTTATTACAAAAGAAATAGCTCTTTAACCCACGGAGGACAGAAAGGGAATTGTCCTAAGGACTGAAAAAATAGCCCTTTTTAGCCCCTACTCCTTTCACTGTCAGATGTGTGTGGAGGAGCATGGCACATTTACATCTAAACGTGACACATATATCATCACATCACTCAAAACATATAATATAACATATAAAACAATCATCACATTCCACACATCAAACATTTCTACCTAATCTAATTCTTCAATAATTTGGCTTTCTTTTCCCTAATTATCCCCGTCTACATAATCCTGAAAGGATAATCAGGCCGAACCGTTATCCATTTTTCCCATTGTCGTCCATTCACCTCAAAGAAGCCGACTCCTCATATAAAAATGTCTTTCTATCCCGACTTCCTTCCCCACCACTTCAAAATTCAACGTATATAGGCATAAAACGTCAATATCTCACTGGCACTCTCAACACTACACACAATCATGACACAGAAAACAAAGACTTTGAGTGAGTACAAATACTTTGATTGAATCTAAAATTTCTAGTATTGTATAAATTCATTTTTTTCACATCCTACATGTATTTGTAAAATATAAACAATGTTTATAAATTACAGGCCCTGAAGATGATCGCAATAAAGATCAAAACGTAGGCACGATAAAGAAAATGTTTTTCTAAAACCTACGTCACACCAGACTGCATATCACGATCTCCAAAAATAAACATTAACTAACGGTCACAAAAGACCTCACATACAGATACAACGTTTTTTTATTAAAACGTCACGATCTTCTATAACCTACTGGCAAGAATTATCTTTGACTATGAACTTTTTGATTGTTTTAAATTAAAAGTGAAATGTATAATAAAAATTCTATTTTTATAACAACACATAATATTTCATAATCGTGAGATGTGATAGAAAGGCTCAAAAGTTTTAATCCGCTCTGCATTACGTTAATACTTCAACCCCTATCTTAGTTGAAGTTAAAAAGTTTCACGAAGAGTTTCACAACGATGGCAGGACGGGTAGTCCCGTGTTGGCGCAACTTCCCAATGATAAGGCCAGACTGTTTCCTGTATATGTTGTTAGATTATGAGTAAATGTATTCAACGATATTTTATAACAATATTTAAACCCGTTGACAATTTATTTACCTTAATAACAATATTTTTGAAATGATTAATTAAAGTGTAAATTTACTGATTAGCTGAAGATGTGACTAATGGGTGGTGCTAATCAGCATCTTTAATGCAAGTCTAAGATGTCTAACAGACACAAAATCAGGGAAAAAATAAGTTCGTAGCGTTTTTCAACTGTTTGATTTGATCCTTTTGTGCTTTGAAGCAATGTTTATTCAGTCATATTGTTTTACGTTTCAAAAAAAATATTAGTTAAGGTGTTTTTATTAGTCAATTCTCTTATTTTTACAAGCTTTTTTGCTCATTTAACGTAGAGGGCATTTCCGGCATTCAATCTGATTTTTTCTATTCACGAACATTGGATCGAGGTATGGTCTTGAAGAAAAAAGGAAATTCAGTTGTTACTACCAAGCTTTCGACCTATTTTTAGGTCGTCATATGGGCAAAACAATCTTAATTATGTGTACAGATTGACACATTTTTTTACGGACGATCTCAAATTTCCTTGACAATATTGAATATTGTTACAGTCCTTGGCAATGTTGGAATTGAGTCGGTCTTCAAAGAAATTCGAGATCGCCTGTAAAAACTGAAATATGTAAATTATGTCAATCGACGATCAAACGATTGTTATGCCACTTTCATACATTTCAAAGCGCTAGGTTCTATAGTTTTGCAAGACTTGTCAGTCATCATGGTTTAGCGTCAACGCCGTGAAAGTGATAACTCGACTTTTTGACAACTTACGAAAGTTATTGTACTTGCATTTGTTTATTTCTTTGTAACAACTGTGTAAAACATAGGCATATTTCGGGTTGATTTGCCCTGATGTCCTTAAAATAAGTAGAAAGCTTGTCACTAGCAACTTCTTCCTTATTTTTTTTTTTTTTTTACGAGGGTTCGCAACAGCAGAGGTCATATAAACCCTCGGGGTGCCGGTGTTTTTGAAAAAAAGCCCATTTGTAAGTATGTCGGGTTCGAATGCAGGGCCGCTGGATTCGAACCCGGGACCTTTTACCTTACAGTGATGAGCGCCGTGTCAAAGACTAAACCTTGCGGCCACCGACGCCCCCCGTCACTAGCAACTAAATTTGCTTTTGTTCTTCTTGAAGATCATACATATCATCTAGAGTGTTTGTAAGTAAAAAAGTGATCGATACTTCCTACTACTGAAAACAAATACTCATTTAATATCACTTCTTGTAACTTAAATGAAATATTTTTGAGTTAAATTTTTGGTGTGCACAGATTAACATATTTAGGTTTTGTACAGGCGATCTCAAATTTCCTTGAAGACTGACTCAGTCCAAACATTGCCAATGACATTCACTGTGAGTGAAAATGTGGTCGGTACTTCTAACATTATTTTTATTGCAACTAAGAGATATCAGACTGCTATGAAAATGATGTGATGGGTACATTGGCTCAGCGCTCTAGTTATCATGTAGTTGATGATGACCTAGTTTGGTAGTAGTAACCAACACTCAACGACACAAGTCATTGCATAGGCACTTATCATTTCTCATAATGTAGGATATAATTTTTTGGTAATTGAGGATTGAGAGGATTGGTTTTTCTAAAACCTTTTCTACATTATTTCTACAAAAACCTTCTAGAACTTTTCTTAGAATCGGTAGTAGATTCATGAACCTAGAAATAAGATAATGTGTGCTTTTTGTGTTTAAAAATCATATGGATGATGGAATGTTTACATGAAAAGGGATACGGGTTGGAAAGGATAGTTCTACCACCAAATTGATGTATATGAATTAATTACAATTAATTAAGGTTTTTAGTTGAGATGAAAAAAAGTTAATGGCACGAGAGGGATTCGAACCAACGAGGTCACGATAGCTCAGGTGGTCGAGCAGCGGCGTATCAAGCCGAAGGTCGTGGGTTCGAATCCCTCTCGTGCCATTAACTTTTTTTCATCTCAACTAAAAACTTTAATTAATTGTAATG